ACGGTTGCCCAGTGATGGCCCGGATGTTGTTGACGTGATTACCGGCCGTTACGAACCAATGGCCGCTGTCTCATTTGTTTCAAGATCCTTGCATAGCAACGGGTCTGTACGCCACATTATTCCTAAAGCATCAATTACAGAGCCATTGATAAGCATCGCGTTCATGCAACAATGGATGAACTGTTGGGAGAGGTGTTTTCTGTTGGGGCATGTGTCGATGACCAACAGTCAGTCTTCAAGCAGATGGTCAGTTGTGAGTTTTAGAAGCTGGTAGCTGTGGCCAAGGGACATTTCGGGAACCTGGAGGCAGAGGAACGTCCACTGTTGGAAGACGTTAGCAAGCATCGCAGTGAAGACCGTGACTGAGAACACTAGTTTGTGTGTGATAACGATTTGTATTGTGCAGTCACTAGCTGTTTAAAAGTTCAGTAAATCCAACTGCCTAGCCAGACCCCGTCTATAGTCACTCTATCACGTGACAACTGGTGTCAGACATGGGATAACTGGATTAGAAAGGATCGGATTGAGAGAATAATTGGACTGAAGACACTGGATCTTTATATCGCCATACTATGGGCGTGGAACAAATGGCACTCCTGCTGGCTGAAATGAAGGCTGAAATAAGAACCAACCGAGCCGAGACAGACGTAGATCTAAAGAAAATGAAAGCCAAGATGGACTCGAATCAGAAAGAACTTGGGGCTTGTCTATCGATAAGCTACCAGCATAAATACATCAGGAAAGAGAAACAGTGTACAAACAATCAACATTAAATAGATCCCCACTTCCAGCATCTCTAAAGCAATTTAAAAACGTTCTTCAAGAGTAACGGTATAAAATCTGTTACAAGAGTGCCCAAAGCTTATATGAGTCAATTCCAAAAAGGGCTGAGGCTGTATTGAAGGCAGAAGGTGGTCCAACACCTTATTAATAGAGAAATGTGCACAGTATCTGTAGTGGTTCCAAGTTTTTGTACAACCTTTGTATGCGCTAAATTGTTCAAACTTTGGTTTTACAAACAGATTGAGCAGCATAGCTCTACTTGTGAGTATCAGTGTTGTACCATGCTTATCATATACGGAACAGGATGTAGATATGACTTCATTCATTTCCGTCGTTTCTTAATACTTTAAGGGGGTTAACCACAGAAGTAAACGAATCTCGGGTGAATGTGACGCGACATTAGAAGTGATTCGTTGTCTTTTGTATAGAAGTGAGTTACTATGCTTATTGCATCTCCGTCCGCAGTAAAAATTGACTGTTAATGCTCTTCATGTGAATCAGTTGAAGTTACGATCAGAACAATATGTCTCTTCTAAAGGCAGCACTTCTGGAGAGGGGCTTGACAGTGCAGGATCTTCCAAGCGGTTTGTTTCTTGGGGACTGGGTAAGCATAATTGATACATCGAGATTTCCATTTTGTAAGGGATTCTAAGAATCAGTAAATTAACGCCACTATTATATGTTCTTGTGGCTGATTTTCTGATAATGACCAAGCTGTGGGAATTTTGTAACGAGTTGAATAAATTCAAGTGTTTAGAAAAGCACCTTACCGTGTAGAGTGTCAGTAACGTTTCTCATTAAGTGGGACTGACACATAAAGCATATGCCAAAATTCGCTTCTCAAAAACGGTGGCAAGGAAACTCACTGTAATTAGTTATATTTTCTTACTTAGGTAAATTGTATAAAGGGAGAAGTTTCCTTCTCGTCTCTGGCATTGCGGGATGGTGGTGAGGACTTTCGAGCCCTGAAAATGCTGACCTAGCGAAGTGAATGTCCTATGTAGTATAAATGGGTTTTGATTTACCACCGTTCTATTCCTGATTGCCTGCATTTACATCGAATATATTACATCTCTCGTTGGACTACTGTGCATCCAGCGGCATGTTTGGATGCCATTGAACAGAGCCAAACAACTCGGAATATGGTGGCCGGTCAGTCTGGTGTTCTGCATTACTTCGCTCGGCCACGTAAGACCATTGCACTAGTGTATTGGGACTATTTTGCTAACATATCGTAGAATTTTCAAATTCTTAATGCTTTTCATATACTTGATTTAATCTCACATTTCTATTTCTATTTTCTTTTTGAAAATAAAATTAAAAAAAAAAGATTTGTGATCTATGGTCAGGCATATGACCAACAGCACAATATTACATCGATATGACAATAGACATCGATTTACGGTTCGTTTGAAACGCGTTGTGTCTTAAAAGCAAGTTCTGACTGTATATAAATGATGATAAACTATACACATTGCTTGGGCGTGAGTTCATTGAAAGCACGCATTATAAACGGATGCTCACAACTGAATTTCGCTAATTAAATAGCAAGACATAGGCCTGAGACAAAATAGTTTCATCGTATAATAAATACGGCTTATGCTCCATAATCCATCTTCACAGAAACATTTTTCCCCTGCGAAAAATTGCGTATTTCCGTAGAAGGTTGAAACTTTAGCCACATGTCTCGGTAACAGATTCTCTGTAATGGCGATGTGCCTTTTTCATCGGTTTGTTTCCCGGTTAATTTAATAATTTTCTCAACTGCGTAGGTTATATAACGGAAGGACTATTATGAATGAAGACGTGAGAAAGACTAGGAAGGAAGCGATTGTGGCCTGTTCTGCAATTATTTTCCGGCATCTGTCTTTGAAGGGCCCGACTAAGGACAACCACGAAAACCTTGGTCGCAATAGCTAAACCGGAATCTGCCAAACTCGAAGGAACGATAACCACTACACCCTGACGTTCGGCCTTCTTCGTAGGAAAGACACGGAGCTTTCATTCATGGCACTGCTTTGCCCCCCTAAGCTCATCGGAAGTTCCTCCGATGAACACGGAACAGTAGTTGAGTGGCTAAGCACTCTTGCAGCGTTATAGATTGAAGATTATGTCATTTTAGTAAGCATGGATGATTGTAAATTGAGACAGGAAAACATGGCGGGAGAGGTAATGTCACCGAGTGTCGCTATCGAGTGGTTAACTCCTAGTGCTCCGAGGTCCGGTTCAAATGTTGGCCTGGAGAATGGATATTCTGACCGAGGTTTTCCTTGCACACCTTTTTTCCAATTAATCGTTCATTAATGATTGTATCTTTTGGCATTATATAATCAGAGCAATTGAAAACATCGTTAATACACTAAGAATAAAGATCGCCTAGATGGCCTGGGGAATACTACTGAAACCGTTCACCACTATTCAACCTGCAGACCTCTAGGTTGCAGCAGCTTTTTGGTTTTAAGCTGCGTTTGCTTTATGGAAGAGGAGGTATTTATACATAATGCAGAGGTTACTTCATAATGTGTATGGGACATATTGTCAGCTGTACCCCCATCATTTCTCTTCCTGAAGCTGCATTTCTTCATGGGTTTCTAAAATTTGACCCTTTATTATTTGAAATTAAGTTCCTTTCTACAACTGTCACTAATTTTCGGTGATTATGCAGTTGTTCATCACCACAACATGGAATTTTAAGTAATAAAATTAACTAATTATTACGCAGGTTGCTAAAATATATTTTTACCACTGGGAACACCAAGGCATAGGTGGGTGGGCAGTATTAAAATGGATCTTAGAGAGATAGGATGGGATCGTATGGATTGGAGTGATCTGGCTCAGGATAGGGACCAGTGAAGGTCTCTTGTGAACACGGTAATGAACCTTTGGGTTCCATAAAATGCTGGTAAATTCTTGAGTAGCTGCAGATTTGGTTTCTCCTCAAGAAGGGCTCAGCTCCATAAGTAAGTTAAGTTAAGTTAATAATTTGGAATATTAACTCAAAATATGTTGTGATCTCATGTTTCCTACTTCATGCCTGTATATAATTTGTCATTGCCCAAATGTTATTACTGTTTTCATGATTCTAGAAGAATTATTGTGGAAATGAAGGGCTGTTCTTCATAATCACACTTCTTACATTTTAGTCCCGTGAAGAAAGTGATGGGCTAAATCCATGCTACTGGCCATCAGCAAACAGTGGTACAGAATCTTTTTCGAGCAGTTGATGGTTATTCACCTTGACAACAAATTCTTGCTTTTATGGAAGTTGACTGTTGATTGTCATGTTCACTAAAACCTAGCATTGGATCTTATTCAGGGATGACACAATCCAGTTTATATTTTTGCGTTGTATTCCTGTAAAATAAATTGTGGCTTAAGTTGCCTCATCTCCTGGGTATTTTAATCAAAACTGTATATGCATGTTTCTCATTCTACATGGCCAATTTATATTATCACATGGTAGGGTGACTATAGATGGGGTTTGGATTGCTGACTTGATTTATTGGCCACTTATACAACCCCTTACTACACTTAACAAATCACTATTGCACACAGACTAGTGTTCACAGTCTGTTACAGTCTGCACTAGTCATTTCCTGGTAATGGCTTCTAACAATGGAGATTGTTCACCTTCTGCACTCTCTTTGTTGCCCTGTGGCTAATACTCGACGACTCTGAACTCTTGCTCCAATTAACTAACTCCCAGGCTGGCGGCCATCTCATACAAACATCCTAGTCTTCTCTTCACAGACTGACTTACAGCTGACTAAAGCTCAGCTGATGCCCTCTTTGTATAGCCACTCAGCATGAACCACATAGAAAACACCGTTTCCAACAGTTGCTGTATCGTTGCACGTGAACTCATTGCCGTGGGAACCTGTTTTTTCTGCAGCTGCTACCCAATAATGGGTCTACACGCTACAGTATTATTATTCTTGATTTAAACATCATATCAGTATTAGGTAAAGAATACAAATTGTGAAGTTCCTAGTTATGCACGTCCTCTCTTCTGTTTTCTACCTTCAGCCATTGTTGACATTATCTCAAAAAAGAGCAACAGAATGATTGAATAAATAGTCATATTGTTCTGTATGTTTTGATCTATATTATTGTGTTTGGAATAGATTTGTATTATTAATTTAAATGCAGTTTTCAAGAGAGAGGCTCAGAAAATAATTAGAACATTAAATTCTTGTGTACGTTGGCCCTGCTTATAGGAAGAAAATGGCTCCACATTCCGAGGATTTATCCGAGTCCACATGAATTTATGTCGACCAATCAGTGTTGTAGCTGGTACACGTCCACCTTCCATTTATGATATTCTTAAGGATGATGAAACACTGGAGAAAACCCTCACATCTTTCTACCTGCCACGAGACACAGTGAAGGCTCTTCATGTTACAAGGTACTTCATTTGGACTGTGTATCTTGAACTGTGAAGTTCTAGTCTACTGTATTTATATAAGAATTATTTACTACAATTGAGCAAGTGTTAACAGTATTACATAGTCTTGAATCTCCTCTGAGTAAGATATCTGTACCCAGGAAATATAAAGAAGTGGCAGAAAAATGGAGAGATTTCTGTAATGGGGAGCAAAATTTTATACTTTTCACCAACATTGTTTATTTCTAGTGTATCCATATATTGTCTGTTTGATCTTTGGACTTTCTGGCCTCTGTCCATCTAGGCAAGGGTGTAGAATCAAATTGTGACCTGGGAGAACCTGTATGGTGAATTCTTTTACTTCAAATGACTGGGTGATCATAAGAATGACAGTTGATGGAGGGACCTTCATCTAAATGTGGGCTCCATTACATTCCCAGCACTTTATCTTTGATAGTTGAAGGTTTCAGTCTGTAAACAGATCTGCACACCTATCTCACCTGGGACCAAACTCTGAACTCGCTGAATGAGAATCCAGTGCAAAATCCTCAAACCAACAGATCCGTACTTCTCATATAATATTATTAGAGCAATTACATCAAGGATGAGATTTGCAGGATGTGTGGTTTGCATGGGAGAAATGAGAAAAGCATACAATGTTCTGGATGGAAGAAGGAACACTCGGTGTCCTGGGGTGTACATGGGAGAATATAATTAAAAATTGGGCATGGAAAAATAGTGCATGAAGATCTGAACTGAATGGAACTGTCCCAAGATAGGTTCCTTTGACAGGATTTTGTGAACATATTGCTGAATATTCAGGTTCTCCAAAGGCAGGGAACTGCGAACTTCTTGAGGAAGACCGTGAACCATTTAGTAAGTTAGTCTGTTATTTAAGTTCTCAGGCTTGGGTGATGCTTATTGCTTAACATTTTCACCACCATCTCTGAGTGTGTTCATTGTTGTGTCTTCCCTTAATTGATTTATCATTCCTTGCTTTTAGTGAAACAACCACACATGAAGTGGTCAAAGCACTTCTTAAAAAATTTAAGGTGGTAGACAATCCACGGAAATTTGCTTTATATGAACGTTACTATGAACAAGGGGAGACTAGAAAGGGTGAGTAATGTTCTATAAATATGAAATATTATAAGGCGTTTCTAGAAGATGTTGAATTGGGTGACTTCTAGTCATGGTTAATAAATATTTACCCACTCTGTAATGGATAATATTTAATATAACTGTGCTGTGCAGAGTCATCAAAAGCCATGCATGTCTCTCTGTCAGTTTGCTTTTCGCACAGAAAGATATCCTGCAAAAATTTTGTACAGACTTGTGTGTGCACTAACACTGAAACAGTTCACTGCAGTGTTATTTGCACAGCTTTTACCGGTCTGTTATATTTGTTGACTGTATTTAAGTAAAGAGATGCATGTATATATTTTCTAATAGCTGTAGCTCTTGCAGTATTTCCATGTAACCATTTTCTGCTTAATATGTGCACTTTGCAAGCATATGATTGCCTGATAAGTAATTTTCCTCATGCACTGCATACTTCTAAAGATATTTGCATGAAATACTGAGTAGATATCAAGAATGTGGTTTGTATATATGCAGACTGTAATTATGATATACTGTTTACTTTTCCAGCCACTACGGTTAAGAGAATGCACAAGTTCATATCTGCCTATTGTATGTCTTAGTTTGAAGACTACAGAAAGAATGTTAAGAGAACTTAGGTATTGGTATTATACAGTGAAAACTGGTACGAAAATTTAATTTTGCTTTGTGTTGGTCACATGTAATGTATGTAATCTACATTAAGCTTATGCTGAATTTTGTTGATTGTCTCAAAAACAGATCATGCAAAAGGTTTGTTTATGGCATAAAGGCTGTAACTTTTCTTTTAAACATTTCTGATGTGGGAAATCTGTGATTTGTTTTTGTGCAGTGTGAATAACCTTACAACAATCTATTTATACAAGGTGTGGCAATAAAGAAACCGGATTCATGCTCTAACCCTTTATAAAAAAAAAATCAGACAGTCGAAATGTTATCCCCTTCAATGTAGTCCCCTCCCCGATCCCTACACCGCTCCATGCGAATTTTCCACTGTTGGAAGCAGTGCTGCAGGTCATCTTGTGTTATGCTCTTCAAGAGTTGCGTCGCTTTTGCTTTCACTGCATCCACGGACTCGAACCTGGTCCCTTTCAGCGCAGA